ACCATTTTTCATATAAAACGTTGCTTTATATACTTGAAGAACCCAAATTTTTAAAGAGGAATTTGTACCCATAATTACCTGTTATGTGTCGTGTCGATTTATTAGAAGATATTTTGAATTTTTGGCTAATCGTAAGAGCACAAACATAAAATTCAGCATATCTTTTTAAAAAATGTATTAGTTTATCTACAGACGTGAATTTTAGTTATTTCCTATAATCTGGAAAATGAATTTCAATTGGATGCATGCCAAAAGCCATTGGACATACCTATACATATACATATACGTATTTTGGTTTACGAATGTGTTAGTTATCGTCTTCGAAAATAGCTTGTTATTTTTAAACTTGCATATTTTCTAGCGAACGCAGGTTTATGTATGTATGTAATTTGGAATTTTCAAGCGTAGGCTAACGTTGCGCTAAAACAGCAGAGCTTAACACAAACACATTTTTACATATACATAGGTACAGTCCTTTCACATGAAAAACGAACAGTTTGGGAAAACAAATACCTATGTACAATATGGCTAACAAAAATTTATTTATACAGGCTTCGCCTCCACTGCATATGACTATTATGAATAATATAAGCAAATGTAGGGCAAAACGTTATTGTCTTACCCTAGCTCGAAGTTCTCTCTCTGATTCAAGGTCATCCTGAAGGAGTCGAATTTTGTCCTGTAATTGGTAACACATACATATAATGAAGAAACTAGTACAAATAGCGATGGTAAGGGAACGTGGAAGAGAAAATTAATAAGAAAACTATATTATTAAATGAAGTAGGCACTTACTAGAAAGTTTTACTAGCCTACTCAAAAATGGTAGAAATGGTAAACTTCCACTTTACTTGTATTTATAATGCCAAATCTTTGAGTTCAACTATTTATGAAAATTAATAAGTTTGCGGTATTGCCGTTACATTAAAACTATTACTTCTAATGTTAAAAAAAGAAAACAAGTATCGGATACTCATTAACAGTGTACCAACGAAGTATCACCATGACATGCTTAGAATAGTTTGAAAATCTTGGTTACACACAAGGTGTTATTCAGGAAAGGGATATTAGATATAATGACCCTAATGGTAAAAAAACATTTAACAGAATTGTCCAAAAACATTTAACATTAAACATACAGGATTTAATAAAGTTGAAATATTTCATCATGAAAAAGATTTCCAAGGTAAAATGTAAGAAACCAGATAATTCATTACCTCAAGTCGAGTAAGGGCACTCAAATCGGCGCTATATTCGACACTAACGTCAGCGTTTCCAGCAGCTCCTGATGAACGGTAAGAATACCTTGAGGCTCTCGCCACCGAGGAAGACATCTTGTGTGTGAAGAAAACTTTTGCTCGTTAACGTTAAGTCAAGTACACAACAAGTCGTTGTCGTAACAGAAAAACTGAAATTAAATCCGCGTGTGCGCTGCCCGGCGTCACAGCCACACAGTAGACGCTTATCGTTCGTTTGAGCGTCGCGACGGCGAAAAAGGGTACGGATAGACGCGAGTATTATACTTCAAAGCATGCGCCTTTAGAATGCAGATAAACTGCGCAATGGTTTTGCACATGAATGACTCATAGTTGTGTGTATGCAAGCGTGTAAGGATATGCTTATTTTTGTATGTTTATTTGCATAGTTTTAGTAAGTATAATAAACGACCATATTAATAGGTTCTCTGTACTGTATGGCACATAAAAAAGCAAACTCGCGCAAGACATTAAGTATGGTTGTTACGAATATAACAGAAGTATAGAATTAGTCCAAAAATATTTGATTTAAATAAAATTGCATCATTTTGAATTAAAAAAATAATTCGTGGTAAACAGGTACCTATTATTAGAAAAATGCAAAAGTATTGAATTATTTAGTACCTTTAAGCGACCTTCTTTATGTGTGTAACTTTAGGCAAGTTTATTGAGAATGCTAGTCTTAATTTTTATTAGTTTATGCTTTTTAGTTATGTTTAGCAGATCTTCTGAAAACATGCCTTCAATTCGTATATGTACACACACGTACGTTAAGATAAAATAAGCGGGCCACGCTATTTGGCTGCCGTGCCTAGCAACTCTCATATTACCTGGTAAGGGGGAAGCGTCCTTTTATAGACACGATTATCGTTTGGAACCCAGAAAAAGCATACCTTACTGTAAAATAAAGAATTTTAGTTTTAAAACAAGCAAAATATACCAGTTGCGTTGTTAATTGGATTATAATTAAATTGTTTCGAAATGTCAATGTGAAACTAAAAGGAATAATAACTTTTTTATACACCTACTTTTAATCTAAAATAAGGTTAAACTAAAAATATCTTTTTATATAATAAAAATTCCTACTATGTTAATTTTGTACCTGCTTTTTTGATGTAAAGTAATGAAGTTTCTTTTAAAAAAACATTTATATAATGGTAAACAAGGAGAATTTTGTTTCATTAGTTCAGTTATGGGTAGAAATTCATTCTCTGGTTGATCGGTACTACATGTGTTAATTTATTAGGTACATATCACTTAAAATAAATTGTAATTTTACTGTTTTGATTTTTATTTAAATTTGTCATGCAAATTTGCCAAGTTGTTTAAACTGATCTTTATGCAATGAGGTAGCGCAAGAGTTCTAGAAATACACTGCCACTCATAACAAATTGGCTTGTACAATACATTCTTTACTTCATTCAATAAATGTGTGATTAATGTTTTAATCAATTTAGTAAAATGGCCCAAGAACAGGCTTTTGGGGAGGGGGCAGGTCTAGCGGTTCCCGGGAACGCCGAGCTCTAATTGTAAGAGGCGCCAAGCATTACGCATCTGGTGTCGAAATAATTTTTTATTATTCTAGGGCGCAGTGTATGTTTATGGGCGCAAAGGGAAATTTTTTCAGTATCCCATTCATTCGGAAATTAATCAGACTATCAGTTAATCGTAGTAAAACGTTGCTTTATATACTTGAAGAACCCAAATTTTTAAAGAGGAATTTGTACCCATAATGACCTGTTATGTGTCGTGTCGATTTATTAGAAGATATTTTGAATTTTTGGCTAATCGTAAGAGCACAAACATAAAATTCAGCATATCTTTTTAAAAAATGTATTAGTTTATCTACAGACGTGAATTTTAGTTATTTCCTATAATCTGGAAAATGAATTTCAATTGGATGCATGCCAAAAGCCATTGGACATACCTATACATATACATATACGTATTTTGGTTTACGAATGTGTTAGTTATCGTCTTCGAAAATAGCTTGTTATTTTTAAACTTGCATATTTTCTAGCGAACGCAGGTTTATGTATGTATGTAATTTGGAATTTTCAAGCGTAGGCTAACGTTGCGCTAAAACAGCAGAGCTTAACACAAACACATTTTTACATATACATAGGTACAGTCCTTTCACATGAAAAACGAACAGTTTGGGAAAACAAATACCTATGTACAATATGGCTAACAAAAATTTATTTATACAGGCTTCGCCTCCACTGCATATGACTATTATGAATAATATAAGCAAATGTAGGGCAAAACGTTATTGTCTTACCCTAGCTCGAAGTTCTCTCTCTGATTCAAGGTCATCCTGAAGGAGTCGAATTTTGTCCTGTAATTGGTAACACATACATATAATGAAGAAACTAGTACAAATAGCGATGGTAAGGGAACGTGGAAGAGAAAATTAATAAGAAAACTATATTATTAAATGAAGTAGGCACTTACTAGAAAGTTTTACTAGCCTACTCAAAAATGGTAGAAATGGTAAACTTCCACTTTACTTGTATTTATAATGCCAAATCTTTGAGTTCAACTATTTATGAAAATTAATAAGTTTGCGGTATTGCCGTTACATTAAAACTATTACTTCTAATGTTAAAAAAAGAAAACAAGTATCGGATACTCATTAACAGTGTACCAACGAAGTATCACCATGACATGCTTAGAATAGTTTGNGTAAGGATCGTGGTCAGGAATTTATTTAAAAAGTGCAAAATGAAATAAGATACCTATCTAAATATTTTGATATTAAGAAATTTTACTTAAAAAAAAACATTTATTACGATACTTACCGAATTGCTTCAATTTCCTCATCCTTTTCTTGTAAACGTTTTTCAGCTTCATGTCTAAATTGTGCCAACTCTGAAGTTAAACGTTGAGATCTTTGTTCTTCAGCTTTACGGCCCTAAAGAGCAAACATTTCGGATAGCTAAATAAAAATAATTCTAAATAAGTTTTTATTACTTACAGCTTCTGCTTCTTTGTATGCTGCTGTAAGTTCTTCACGTTCGTTTTCAAGTCTCCTAAGCTCAATTTCTAACTCGTGAAGTCTTCTGGTCAATTCGGTGATAGTGTTCTTGGCATCGTGGAGATCATCTACAGAAATAAACATAAAAATTAATTAAATCGGGATATTTAATTGATGTTGCGAATTTTTATCTGGAAACACTGTAAATTAACGTAAAAATATTTACCAGCTAATTTCTTGTTTTCTCTAGTAAGAAGACTGTTCTGTTCTCTAGTTTTATCCAGTTCATGGTTGAGCTTTTGAATTTCGGTTTGCTTAACACGAAGATCTCTTTGTGCCTGATCATATAATTGAATCGTTTCGTCCAATCTAGTCTTTAACTCAATATTGGTTCTTTCCAAGTATTCCACCCTCTTTTGTAACTCCCTTGCAGTATTGTTAGCTTTCTCAAGGTCGATTATTAGTACTTCAACCTCCGACTGCAAACGTGATTTTTGTTTTTCCAAGTTATTGACTTTAACCAAAAGAGCTTCGATGTGTTCTTCTTGTTCCTGTAATTTATTTGGTGAAAACTTTTAAAATTTACTCAAATGATGCAACTTACTTGGATTCTAGCATTGTATTTTCTTCTAAGTTCTTCAACCTCTTCAGCTCGAGCTTGAGCTTCAGTTTCATACTTTGATTTCCAAATTTGAGCATCGCCTTGTGCCTTAACAAGTTGTCTTTCCAAATCCAAACGGGCTTCACTTTCTTCTTCAAGTTGTATACGCACCGACTCCAATTCAGTTTCTACTTGATGTAATTGAGCTTCCAATAAAGATCGCTTACGTTCATCATCTTCAGCTCTACGACGTGCATCTTCTAATTGAGTTGCCAATTGACTCTTTAGGTAATTGGCGTTCTCAAGGTTTATCTAAAATCAATGATTATAATGATAAAATAGTTCAACTCAAAATTACTTAGAATTCATTTACTTTAATGTCTTGCACTTCCTTCGTGAGTTCGATGTTTTCTTGGGACAGGCGGGTTTTGTGCGAAGTAATATCAACAATCGTGCGGTTCAGTTCTTCTATCTTAACGTTAAATTCGCTGATTGTAATTTCTAGTTTCTGAATGGTTTTTTCCGCCAAAAACTTTTCTTTATTGACTGATTCAACTTGAGCAAGGAGTTCATATACCTCGGCTTGAAATTTAGCCTTCTCCTTTTCGGCTCTAAGATATACACCAAGAAGTATTTAATAGTAATAATAATTACACAAAATTAATAAACATCCGAAATTATAAATACAGTTTTAGTAGGACATGTTCCATAATGGTATATTTAAGGTAATTTATAGTTACTTACAATTGTAAAATAAATGGAAAAGTAAAACTAGTGTGTTTATTTCAATTCTAATATAAAAATAGGAATAAAAGTAAAAATCGGCATTTAAAAGAGTAAAAATATAACTCAAAATTGAAAATGGTTCTATTGTTTTAAAATAATATATCAATCCGAATGGTGAGATAATTATAAGTTTTATGTATGTTATGTAGAGATACCCGGTACAATTTGTTCGTGGTCGAGAATACAAGATACTTTGTGTAAATTGACTGCGATTTTAAAACATGTTTGCTAAAATTTTACCTCTAGTCTCATGAAAATGTATTCGTGTGTTTTTTAAATTTTGTTTAATAAAGGAAATTGTTGTCCAGGAATCTGTTGAAAGGTTTTGGGGTTGGTAAAGAGTTGTTTTTGCATTGGACTAGAATTTTATCGTGGTGCAAAGTCATTTGTCTGTGATTGTGGTTTTTGTGTAGGAGTGTTGTGTGGTTGTGGTTTCTTGGAAGTACCTGCCATTTACCTATGTATCTTTAATTTCTTATTTTCGTTGTCTAATTATTTAAAATAATTAAGAGCCTGCGATAAAGAAATTGGCCTTCTTACTTTTGAATCTGAATAATAGAGTTCCCCTACAGATAATTTAAAAATACTGTGTGCCTCTTTCTTATAGTGACTCATCAATGCGTTTGCGCCTGCAAAAATGCCTGCTAGTTTTGTTAAAATAATATGAATTTTGTTGTAAAAATCTACAAATTCATTAGGTTTTCGAATACAGGAAATTAGTTATTGAATAACAAATCGGTATTTTCTGAAGATTTGAATTTGGTTGTGATTAAAGCTTTTAGAATAGACCAATCATTTGGCCTTTCTACTAAACATGCAGTTTCTGCTTTGCCGGTTAATTTACTAACAATGTCTCAAAATGTTAAATTTCTATAGGCCGGAGTTGTGGTAGAGACATTTGCGTCAAAATTATCACAGTCCGAAATTAACGTATCTACCTTTTCGGGAGAACTATAACGTGACTTTGATTAATTTCAAAAATTCGTACAAAAGATTGTAGTTAGTTGTTTCGTCAGCTATATCTACAAGTAGTTATAGATGTAATTATTTTTTTGTCATCATTTTTAAAGCATATCGTTGTTCTTCATAAAATTTGACAATTTGAAGTCACTTTACGATTTTTTATACTCTTCTTATTAAGAATCTGGTGATACTGAAACCACTTAATTCTGAAAAGCATCAGGTTTCAAACGTACAATTTAAATTTTGTATGAAATTTGTTTGGAACCATTAACGTTTACTTGAGAATGTAAATAGAATGCACTAAAGATAAATCTCGTTTGAAATGGGAAATAATTCATTTATAAAACTTGTTATTTAATAATGTCGTACATATGTTATATGTTTTTGTGTTTTTAATTAATCCTTAATCTATTTTTTTGTTTTCTAGGAGCTTGTTACAAAGAATTACAAGCATCTGAAAATAAACGATTTTCCGAAGAAAGATCTGCAAAATATTTAGCACAAATTACAGATGCCTTAAAATATTGTCATACAAAAAAAGTTATTCATCGTGATATTAAACCCGAAAATTTGTTAATTGGTTGTAAAGGTGAAATTAAAATTGCTGATTTTGGCTGGTCAGTTCATGCTCCTTCATCGAGGAGAGCTACTATTTGTGGAACATTAGATTATCTTTCCCCAGAAATGGTACATGGAAAAACTCACAACGAAAAGGTTGATCTTTGGAGTCTTGGTGTATTGTGTTATGAATTTTTAACTGGAAAGCCTCCTTTTGAATCCACTTCTTATGATGAAACGTACAGGAAAATCAGCAAAGCAATATTCACATTTCCCAGTTACGTGTCGGAACCTGCTCAACATTTAATTTCTAACTTATTGGTTGTCAATCCAGATAAAAGGTTAGATTTAAATGGGATTCTTGAACATCCCTGGATTTTAGCACTATCTCAATAAGTAATTTTATATCATTTTAATTGATTGATAGGTATATTTTATGTGTAGTTTTCTTATTTATTTATGTTACACATTTTTAATAGACGAAAGATAACTAATTTTATGTTCTTTAAGAGATTTTCATTGATTGAATAATANTACCCTAGCTCGAAGTTCTCTCTCTGATTCAAGGTCATCCTGAAGGAGTCGAATTTTGTCCTGTAATTGGTAACACATACATATAATGAAGAAACTAGTACAAATAGCGATGGTAAGGGAACGTGGAAGAGAAAATTAATAAGAAAACTATATTATTAAATGAAGTAGGCACTTACTAGAAAGTTTTACTAGCCTACTCAAAAATGGTAGAAATGGTAAACTTCCACTTTACTTGTATTTATAATGCCAAATCTTTGAGTTCAACTATTTATGAAAATTAATAAGTTTGCGGTATTGCCGTTACATTAAAACTATTACTTCTAATGTTAAAAAAAGAAAACAAGTATCGGATACTCATTAACAGTGTACCAACGAAGTATCACCATGACATGCTTAGAATAGTTTGAAAATCTTGGTTACACACAAGGTGTTATTCAGGAAAGGGATATTAGATATAATGACCCTAATGGTAAAAAAACATTTAACAGAATTGTCCAAAAACATTTAACATTAAACATACAGGATTTAATAAAGTTGAAATATTTCATCATGAAAAAGATTTCCAAGGTAAAATGTAAGAAACCAGATAATTCATTACCTCAAGTCGAGTAAGGGCACTCAAATCGGCGCTATATTCGACACTAACGTCAGCGTTTCCAGCAGCTCCTGATGAACGGTAAGAATACCTTGAGGCTCTCGCCACCGAGGAAGACATCTTGTGTGTGAAGAAAACTTTTGCTCGTTAACGTTAAGTCAAGTACACAACAAGTCGTTGTCGTAACAGAAAAACTGAAATTAAATCCGCGTGTGCGCTGCCCGGCGTCACAGCCACACAGTAGACGCTTATCGTTCGTTTGAGCGTCGCGACGGCGAAAAAGGGTACGGATAGACGCGAGTATTATACTTCAAAGCATGCGCCTTTAGAATGCAGATAAACTGCGCAATGGTTTTGCACATGAATGACTCATAGTTGTGTGTATGCAAGCGTGTAAGGATATGCTTATTTTTGTATGTTTATTTGCATAGTTTTAGTAAGTATAATAAACGACCATATTAATAGGTTCTCTGTACTGTATGGCACATAAAAAAGCAAACTCGCGCAAGACATTAAGTATGGTTGTTACGAATATAACAGAAGTATAGAATTAGTCCAAAAATATTTGATTTAAATAAAATTGCATCATTTTGAATTAAAAAAATAATTCGTGGTAAACAGGTACCTATTATTAGAAAAATGCAAAAGTATTGAATTATTTAGTACCTTTAAGCGACCTTCTTTATGTGTGTAACTTTAGGCAAGTTTATTGAGAATGCTAGTCTTAATTTTTATTAGTTTATGCTTTTTAGTTATGTTTAGCAGATCTTCTGAAAACATGCCTTCAATTCGTATATGTACACACACGTACGTTAAGATAAAATAAGCGGGCCACGCTATTTGGCTGCCGTGCCTAGCAACTCTCATATTACCTGGTAAGGGGGAAGCGTCCTTTTATAGACACGATTATCGTTTGGAACCCAGAAAAAGCATACCTTACTGTAAAATAAAGAATTTTAGTTTTAAAACAAGCAAAATATACCAGTTGCGTTGTTAATTGGATTATAATTAAATTGTTTCGAAATGTCAATGTGAAACTAAAAGGAATAATAACTTTTTTATACACCTACTTTTAATCTAAAATAAGGTTAAACTAAAAATATCTTTTTATATAATAAAAATTCCTACTATGTTAATTTTGTACCTGCTTTTTTGATGTAAAGTAATGAAGTTTCTTTTAAAAAAACATTTATATAATGGTAAACAAGGAGAATTTTGTTTCATTAGTTCAGTTATGGGTAGAAATTCATTCTCTGGTTGATCGGTACTACATGTGTTAATTTATTAGGTACATATCACTTAAAATAAATTGTAATTTTACTGTTTTGATTTTTATTTAAATTTGTCATGCAAATTTGCCAAGTTGTTTAAACTGATCTTTATGCAATGAGGTAGCGCAAGAGTTCTAGAAATACACTGCCACTCATAACAAATTGGCTTGTACAATACATTCTTTACTTCATTCAATAAATGTGTGATTAATGTTTTAATCAATTTAGTAAAATGGCCCAAGAACAGGCTTTTGGGGAGGGGGCAGGTCTAGCGGTTCCCGGGAACGCCGAGCTCTAATTGTAAGAGGCGCCAAGCATTACGCATCTGGTGTCGAAATAATTTTTTATTATTCTAGGGCGCAGTGTATGTTTATGGGCGCAAAGGGAAATTTTTTCAGTATCCCATTCATTCGGAAATTAATCAGACTATCAGTTAATCGTAGTGTTAAACCAATAAAGTAACTTAATCATGACTAAGAATTGTTATGTACCTTATGCTTATTTTAACGGCCTGTTTGTAAATTGACGTTATCGCGTGTTTTGTCAATATGTTGCCATCAATGACTGTTAAAATAGCCCAAATCTACAATAAAATAGTTAAAAAGGGAAAATTTAAAGTTGGTTGAGGTTATGTGTTTAGACTGTTTTATTGTGTTTGACATTCAAAAAGTTTATTTTGTTATTAGTTATAATATATATTTGACCTGCTGTAGTCTTGTAAATCATCATCATAAGGTCGTCACTTCTAAGACTGGTTGGACACGCACCTCCACTCCCTATCCTGAGCTAATCCTCGCATTTCCCTAAAACTGGAATATTCCACATCCTTAACCATTTGCGAACAGTAATCTAATCTAAGCCTACCTCTACTCCTCTTAACTTCTGTTTTTGCCTCAAATATGTCTCTGACTAGTTTGTCATACCTGAGAAGGTGTCCTACCAACCTATCCCGCCTATTTTTTATTGACTTCCATAGAGTTCTGTATCTAAGCATACTGATCTTTTGCCCCTTTTATATCTACCCCTACAGTTGTACCGTCTTTAATATTGATCGCGTCTTCGATGTATAGATTATAAAGTAGCAATGACAGTGTACATCCTTGTCTGACTCCCTTCCATCTATACCTGGCGCCTTATTATTTTATAAGTTTCTTAATGCTATAAAGATTTATTAAGACAATGGAACTTTACAGCCGATGTTACAGGTTCAATTGTTCAAACAAGAGTGGTATGATGTTTCCTTTTTACCAAAGCTGTTTTTCTAAAAGTTAGCGAGTCTCGGTTGTAATGAAATTGATATTGAATTATTGTTTATTAAACTGCCGCCGGACAGGCGACGCACATAAACTAAACAGGTATCCTTCTAGACTTTATCAGGTTCCCGAGAATTGATTTTTTGAATCGGAAGCTGTTTCATTCGTAACACCGTCCATGCCGGGGAATTTTCTCTTTTTCAGAGATCGGATGGCGGGAAAGATTTCACGGAGGAATGTGTGTTTAAGGTCGAAAACAGTTGGGACGAAGTTTTGAGAGGCGACGTTAGTTCGCTCGTAAAAGTCAGCTTAATAAATGGTTAGAATATCTGCGGGGAGGTGTTTCCTTGTGGAGGAGAAGGGGCGGGAGGTCGCTGGTGATCTCCTTTGAAAGAAGAAAGTTGCACTTGAGGAGGATGTTTTGAGAGTGTAACCGAGACGTAGCCACTCTAGTGATGTTGTAAGGTTTGGGGGGTTGAGAGTTGGGCTGCCGACTTCTATTAGGCCTGGAAGTTGGTCGGAATTTAGAGCGTCGAGAATGGTGGGATCGGCAGGAGTGACATTTTTTAAGACGAAGCTGTCAAGAATGTCAGGAAGTTTTTTTGGGGGGGGGGAGATATTAAGATCTGGGGGCAATTCAACTGCAAGTTTGAGGACTTTGGTAAGAAGGAAAATGCCTTTAGTGTGTCGGCAGCACCAGGAGGCGTGTTTGGCATTCACATCGCTTGCGACCATCGTCGAAACGTTAAGGGGGAGGAGGAAAGGGAAACCCGAAAGATTTAGTTCAGATGAGGGGAGTAAAGGGATATGATTCTGAGAGGGTTGGAAGTTAGCGAGACTTCAATACAAACTGCTTCTAATGAATTAGTGGGCAAAAAGATGCGCCTGCGTTTTAAATAATTCCGGACGAGGATGGCTACGCCACCGCCTCAGGAGTTTTCACGGTCCCTTCTATAGGATGTGAAGTTTAGGACAGAAAGTTTCACTTTCTGCGATAAGTGAGTCTTGGGTGATGCAGGCAGCACCGGTTGACTATTCCTCGAGGAAGTGTTCGAGTTCATTCAATTTACCTCTAATGTTTTAAGCAATCCAGGTAATTATTCGAAGATTATTTGGGTGGGCGTTTTTATCCATGGGTGGATATTTGGAGGTAGGCAACAATGCTGACTGCCATCGTTTGCACGATGACCTTGAGTTTCTGTTCCAGAGTTGGTGCTGAAGAGATGCTCGGGGTTGCGTTGGACTTTCGGATGGGAGTTAGGGGCTGCTCTCACTGCCCTGGCGTAAGACTTTTGGGGGAGCGTCGTTATGAGGCTGGCTAAAGGACGGGTGATTGTCTGGACGCTTTTAGGAGCAGCCAGAATACGGGAGGGTGTTTTGCGTGGTACGGTTTTCTTAGGTACCTTGGGACAACCACGATAGGTGGCGCGGTGGTTCCCTTTGCAGTTAGCACAGGGGGAGATTGCGTCTTTCCTACCTTCTGCCTCCAGTGTGGCAGTAATTGGCCGTATGAAAGAATTTCATACATCGGCGACATTGGGCAACTTTGATGGCTCTTTTCGGCTCCACTTTGACATTAAGACTGCAGAGTTTGCCAAGTTCGAAGATTGATTTGAACTTAGGAGAAGACTTGTCGAGACGGACGATATACTTTTTGACATTCGGTGAACACTCTGGATAGCGAAGCCTTTATTATAAGTTCAGACTGCACATCGTCCGTGGAGATGGCTTCGCAGACTCCACGGAGGACAACATGAAGGTCTTTGCCTTGCTGAAGTTGGTTGGTTAGTTCGTCGAGGTACGACGACAGACGACGAAAATCGTCCACGGAGTTGGGGTAGACTCCCTTAAGACAAAACACGTCCTCGTCTTCAAACGATTACATGGTAAAGGGGTGCTGGAGATGTCTTCAAATTTTTGAGTTCTTGCCAGCTTCTTTATCAACTTGGGATTGATTTGTTTTGAATAGTATCACGAACTAGAAGGTCATGATTTGGGTTATTTGCATTTCATTCGTTAGTAATGGTCATCAATACTAAAAAGAAAAGGAATTAAATATGTTGATGACTGGAATGATTATATGTACCAAGGGTGCACATATGGCAAGCAACACCTAACCTCACACCCAATCAACCGCAAGACAGCCCAGCAGTCGTTAGATCGCTAGGAGAAGCCAAGTAATTGCTCATGTTGGAAGATAATTTTACGCATTACCGAAGCTGTTACTTTATGAAGACGGAAGGTGAGGCCCCAGAGAAGATGGAAAGCTACTTGAGACTTGTGGAAAACCAGCTAGCAAGAAGAGTGAAGAGTCTAAGATCACACAATGGCACTGAACTGAAGAATACAGAAACCAAACAGATGTTGGACAAGATGGAATCTTCACACATTCAGAAATATACATACGCCAGAGCAGAACGGAACGATTGAGAGAGAAATGAGAACGATTGTCGAGGCAGCCAGATACACGCTGAGAACTTGGACGAGAAACGGTGGGCAGGGTCAATGAACCATGTGATCTTCACGATCAATCAGACTGGAACCAGCAACGTACCAGGGAAAAGCCTGCGAGATCGTCGGAACCTGCAACCATCACCAAGACTCAGGGATTGAACAGAAGGAGGGGGTGGACTACGCGGAAACCTTCAGCCCAGTAGCCCGTCATGCATCGATTAGACTACTAAACCACAAAGCGTCAAAGAAAATACAGTTGGTATGTATGGGAACCTGGAGGAGGACATTTATATGTACCAAC